CATCAAATCCTTCCGTAGTGTAGTTGGTTCATCACGTTCGACTGTAACTGGTAACATTTCCAATCGAAAAGGTCACCGGCTCGACTCCGGTCGGAAGGATCGCACTACAAGAAAGCCTAGCTTCTTCCAGCTTTTGCTTTTGCCATGCGCCAACTCCGAGGCCTTGACCGGGGTGCGAAGAAAATTGGCCGTGTCGTCTGGAAAGACCCGAGCCAGACATTCCATTGTGACTGGTTTTCTGGGCGCTGTGCTGGGCTTTTCACGGATGTTCTCCTCGTGGCCGACTGGGTACCAACATCATACCTTTGCATCTTGACCTCTCATAATCTGGATATGGATTACAGGATTTTAGCCTGAGGCTTCAGTCTGATCAAGACTCTAAAAAATGATGCTCGTATCTCAAAGCCATGTGTAGCCTCTTCTACCTACATGCATAGGTGATAGCTTGACAAGATATCGGAGCAGATTCTTGGTGTCGGAGGCAAAGACGATCGAGTGCAGTGAGCAGGCTGACGGACAACAGGCTCCAGGCAGCGCTGCACCCCGACCAAACAAGTCAAATATAGGTATCAGATTTGGTTATTTCGTCCGCCGAAATCGACGGATTTGGTTATTTGGTCCTATTATAAATATTTGACTTATTTAGTTAGTAACGAAGCTATTACGATAGTCACTAGCCTACCTAAGACCTAGATTCCGTAGTATTATATTAGTGGAATTACCCTAGGTTCTAACGCCCTACGTGCGCGGGTATAAGCTAATTAGATAATATATATAGGGTTTTCTTAATAAAAGCTAAAAGAAGCTAGTAGCCTACTTAGTTAGGATCTCCAGGACCCTATTAGAGGTTATAGGTTCGAATCCCATTATTAGCGTTATCGTACCGTTAATAAGAGAGTCCCTTTTATTAATAGTACGATTATGTTTATTAGATTTTGTTTTATTAGTCGGATAAGCCTTAATATAGGTCTTAGGGCTCGGGATAGCTATATTCTAGGCCTGAATACGTATCTAAACGTTTACTAAATACCTGAATATCGAAATACTATAGATTTAGTTATTTAGCTACAGGAAATCGGTCTATTTGGTTGTTTGATGATTTAACTTATTATATTTGTTCGGGGTGCTACGCTGGCTCTAGGAATTCAAACCGCTTCCTACCTAGTTCCCTTGACCGCAGGATCCCGGCTTTCAGCAGTCAGACGGTCAGGCAGACCGTATGTTGTTGGCCTACACTGCGTCGTTCAGGATATGGTGAGCCAGAAGGCTCATAACGACAACATGGGATGCCCGCATTAGCGTCTCCTACCAACCTTGACTTGAGGCTCTAAAGCCTTCACGAATATAATCTACATCATGCGCCATTGCCTAGTCACTTTAACTATTGAAATCTACCAGCCAGCCACGGGCTTTGCCAGAACAGGCGCCTAATCCACTCAACCCATCTTACCGAGAGGGGATGAACCAGGAGTGCCGACCCTCTGGCAGGCAGGGTCTTGATCAGTGGACCACATTCTCTCGAGGCTGAGTCTGACTGCCAACGGTCTTTGTGCTATTTGCGTCCGCAGCCCGTCAAAGGAGCCTTCACTTGAATGTGGCCGATTCCTTCAGCTGTTTGGTCGACATTGGTCACGCCTCTGGATTTCGCCTATCCGACCCCCACCCCCACTCACCAGCGGGGTGGATGATGATGATGTAGACGCGGCAACTCTGTTTGCACGACCACGCAGGGCAGATTGATTGGGGTGGCGAAAAGCGTTGAAATTACATTGTCGGCATGGTGCAGCAGAAAAATCATATCCCGTGTTCGTCATTGGGTCGATGAAGGATGTAAGTATGACAAGCAGGGTTGGTGAGATGGCGGGCTGCAGCGAGAACTGCGACGTGATTTCAACGTCCATGGGGGGCATGACGGAGATTGTTGGGGTGGCGGGCGTGAGTGAGCAAAGAGTCAGCATCTCTCCAGAAGAGGCCGTGGCCCAATATGGCTGCTGGTAGCGTCTCGTTGGCCTACTGTATTCCGGGTGCTTTGAGCAAGTCAGCCGCTCGGTGCGTGGGCTGGGGGCACGGCACGCTATATGTTCGTTCTGCTCTTTGGGTCGTCGATTTCGGGAGGATCCGGCATGGTGTCCATAGCGCAAAGATCCCAGCAAGCGTAAACTTGTTCCCTCTCGGTCGATTCGATTGTCTGGGGTAGCATTGATCCAGGGTTAGGTACCCCAAGTCACAAGGAACATGTTTGTCCGGCAGATAGACATTTGGCCGCCCGAAGTCAGAAAGTGGGGAAGATGAGTCTCCATGGCGATTCGCGATCAGGTCACGATCGTCCAATATTGAACGCAGTTACCCATGAGCATGCAATCGAGTAGCCCCATGGAGCTGACTTGCCTCGTGGTCTGCCTTGCCCTTTGGCCTTTGCCCTTGAGCCTTTGGGCTTTACCCTTTGCCCTTTGGGCTTTGCCCTTTGCCGAATGCTGGCTGCCTGCGGCGAGGAAGCGGCGGTCAATCATGTCGGTCAGCAGCATGACAATTTGGCCGAACGGCAGCTGCCACGCTGTCGATCTTGCTGACTCGGACCACGAGAGCCTTCTGTCATAACTTGGAAGTAGGCCAGGGCCATTCTAGTTCTTCAATGTCGTTTAAAGAAAGGCTCGTCAAAAGTCAGAAGAGGCTCTACGATGCGCGGCCGAGGTCAAATGGGAAGGCATGCCTCTGGCATAGCCAGGTGAATCATGTAGGAGACCCTTGCACCAAGCAAAGAAGTGAGCTACAAGTCAAAGGAAAGAATGATTCAAACTGCCAAGCCACCAACGTGGCTACCATCTGGCTGCCACACACCTTCCCCAGCATTGGTCTCGCCCCGTTGTCCATCTTTCTTGCACCTGCCAATCAATCACCCTGTTGCTGGGCTGGGGTCATGCCTGCCTTGTCCTGCCTGTACAGCATCGGCGCCATGTTAGCGTACCTTTTCTTGGGGTTCGGCTGGCAACGACGCATCCCGCTTCTCCTTCTCCGCAGCGACAACTGGCCATGTTCATGTTCAAGGTTCCCAAGCTCCCTCCCTACCTTAGCCACCGCCATCGTCACTTCAGCCAATCCTCGTGTGCTTCAGCGCCGCCTCCCTCAAAGCTCCAGGCTCCCCAACGCCAAGTGCCAAACACCACACACACCACACCACCCCGGGCTTCACACGCACACACCAGGCTACCTCGCTTCGCGAACTATCCGACGACCCTACATTACCCTGTCCTGTCCATGCACTACCCCTCTCCTTGTCATCTCGTTCGTCAATACCTATGACACGCCTCCGTTCTCGAATCCCCGAGGTCTCATTCTTCTTCCTCCTACACGCCAACGCCATGTTGTCCGCTCACACCTTTTGTTCCTCTTCCCTTGTCTGTGTAACGGCTTCATCCCTTGGCTTCCCCTGGGCCGACGCCCTGCTGGGCATCTTCTCATTAGGTATCTTATGTATCCCCTGACGATTAGGCCCAGGCCCGAAGACCCTGCTCTGGCCGGCCGTCAGCCCCGACTGTCTGGGACTGATATATCACCATCGCCTACCTTCTTCGCTTCGAGCCATCTTCGCGACGGCCGCCAACATTATTCACCGATACACAGAATCTCAGTCCACCTACCGCTTGGGTAGCTAGCCCTCTTACACTGTACTTTGCTGCTCCGAGAGCCGTGAGCTGTTGCGTTTCTGTTCCTTGCTGAACGGGCCTTCTTTTCTTTCATTATATTCTTATTTTTGGCTCTCATCGGGCCATATCATCATCAGTCACACCAGTCAACAACCCTCGCTGCTTCGGCTCCCTTCCGCCTGGCTCTGCGACCCCGTCCTGCTCCTATTGTGCCGCTTCCCGACCATCTCTGTCCTTCGCAGCGCTCGTGTCGCCATCCCCGAGTCGACGGCAACTCTCCATCGTTTGTCCGACCTGGCATTGCCTGTACAACCTCTATCCCCTAGTCCAAACGACGTCCCCGCCCGTTGTTTCGGGCCCCAGAAGATCCAATCCTATCTCTGAAGCCCTTTCTATCCCGACTGCATTTCAGCTCCCGCAGCTGCTGCGAGTCCCCCAAAAGTATGCCTTGCCCGTCTCCGTCTCTCCCCCCCCCAGTTCTCGTCGTTGGACGCCACCTCACATCACAAAAACGCCGCCAAACATGTGTGCTAATCGCGACAGACCTCTGCTGACACTGACCCTGTTAGGGCGGGCAGCTCGTGCTCCTCCGACCCTCCTCGTCGGTCATCCGTCGTCTCTTCCGTCCGACCAGCTCGTACCAAGACAGTACTCAGGCCCGGAAAAGATGCCTTTGAGCGGCACTCAAGTGACCACCATCATCGCCCTCGAACGCACCGGAGCTTCACTCTCTCTGATTGGCATCACCCTCATCTTTGTCTCGTATTACCTGTTCAAGCGACTGAGGACTATTCCCAATCTGTTCATAGTCTTCGCATCGGTCGCCAACATTGGCGCCAGCATTGCGTGCCTCATTGGCTACGATGGTATCCTCATAGGAGAGGCTTCCGCGTTGTGCCAGGCTCAGGCCTTCATGCTGGAGATGTTTGTTCTCCCCTCGCCAGGACGCCCGGGCGCGACGTAGCTAACGATACAAATAGGTTTATGCAATCTGACCCCTGGTGGTCCTTGGCCATGGCAGTTAACGTCTATCTCGTCTTTTTCTTCGGCGCCAGCCCGGCCTCCTTCCGACAGTATCTCTGGGTGTACTGCGTCATTTGCTTTGGTGGGCCATTTATACCCGCTATTGTGCTCCTGCTTGCGCGCCCGAATGGACAGATGATGTATGGCAATGCGACGGTATGTGTGGTCTCTGATGGTTCAGCACGGGCCTTCGACGTTGGCTTTCATGAAGCGCTAACGGGAGGCATAGCTCTGGTGCTGGATCAATAGCGACTGGAGTGAGCTGCGCATCTACACTTACTATCTGCCGATTTGGATCTGCATCCTCTGCTCCATCCTGATCTACTTTGCCGTCGGCTACCACGTCTTCCACCAGCGCAACCAGCTGCGAAATCTCACGTTCAGCCACATCAAAGATGCAAATGAAGTGTCAATGTCCGAGGATAACAGAGATTCAGCAGAGAAGGTCGGTGGAAGCTCTTCTGCCGGTCCCCAAGCCCAGAGGCTGACTTTGACGCAGAATCTTACTGGACGTCCAGAGGACTGGCAGGTCACCGCTGTCACTGAAGTTCAAATCACTACCGGGTCTCCGAGGCCGGATCGCGCAATCGAAATCCCAACTGTGCCACCGGCGGCATTGACAGACTCGCCGCAGATCCGCAGCGCCGGACACGCGCCGTCATGGCATTCAAGCCATGAACGTGTGCCGAGTCCCGTCATCAGCCACACACGTTTCGAGACGATGATCAGTTCGAACCCACCACCACCCCCACCACGAAGGTCTTTGTTGGGTTACGTGAAGGGCGGCATGCAAAAGTTCAACGCCAAGTTGCAAGGGCTGGATCCCGTAAAGCTTGCCTACCTGCGAACAAGTTTCATCTTTGCCATATCGATCCTTGTCACATGGACGCCAAGCTCCATCAACCGCGTCAACGACTTGGTAAACCCCGGCCAAGTCAGCTTCGGCCTTAATGTTGCCACGGCGATTGTGCTGCCCTTGCAGGGAGTTTGGAACGCTGTCATTTACTTCATGACGAGCTGGACCACTGTCAAGGAGGAGTATCACCGCTTGATGCACCGGAGGTCGGTCAGGCGGCTTGATAGCCGGGACGACAGCCGGGGAAGAAGTTCGAGGCTGAACGTTTTCCGAGGTCACCGTGACAACCATTTTGACCCATCACGTCTTGAGCGTGGCAAGCGGCCACGCAGCGGCCAGGTCAGCGAGTACGAGCTGGCGCCGCCTGCGAAGAGGGGTCATGGAAATGTTCGGGCCATGCGAGGCTCGTTTTAGCTGGCTGTATTTCAGTGCGGTGGTTGTGGTGTTCGTTTCGACTCATTTCGCATCAGCGGTGGCAGGCGTTGTGTAGGAGCAGTCTATTCGCCAAGCAAAAGTTGGCCTGAAGATATGGTGTCTGAAAAATGAGCTTTCCAAGTATAATTTGTCCAGTATCACGATTTGTGCCTGATAAAGTGGCACGGGACAGTGTAGAGCCAACTTGCTGAAGCCTTGATGTTGTCATTGTGTTGATGCTTTGGTCTGAGTTGTTTTGTTTTACTGTACCTCCTAAAATGGACGCGGTCCGTTTAAAAGTGATCCATGAATATTTTATCCGTTGAAGTATTGAAGATCGTCAAGTTGGACTTGGGAACCCCCTATTCTGGCACCTGCTCGCATGGCCTTGACGGCTAATCATCGGCAGTCGTAGGCCTCGCGGGTCGTGTTAGCGCCGTTGACCTCTGCCGAGACTGGCGCATGTATGAGCACAGCGCACGACGCATGAGACAACCGCAGTCCTCGTCAACCTACGTTCCGTCGAGGATCCAGCGCGTTCACAAAACGCGGGGACGATAACGCTGCAGCTTGGGCGGACCGAGACTGAGAAGACGAGCTGTGGACTGACATGTCTGACGGGCCTCACTGCACCTGACTCATCAACCGACAACCTTCAACCTGAGCACGAGGATCTCTCTCATCGCCTACCGATATCAGCTCGCAAGGGTGTCAGCCACCACTCCAATTCATACACCATCATGGCCAAAAACGTCTGCATAATAGGTACGTCTCACGACCTCCCTTTGGCTTCAGCATCTCCCCCGCCCCATTCCCAACCCGCACGCCAAACTAACCGCACAAAGGCGCCGGCCCCTCCGGCCTCGTGGCCGCCAAGACGCTCCTCTACAACGCGCCGCAGGGCGCCTTCAACGTGACCGTGTTCGACGCCCAGAAGCGCGTCGGCGGCCTGTGGCCCGCGTCGCCGCGCGACGGCGGCGGCGCCGTGCACCCCCTCATGACGACCAACCAGAGCCGGCACACGATGCACTTTAGCGATTGCGGCTGGGACGACGCCGACGGGCCGCAGTTTCCGCGCGCGTGGATGGTCGGGCGCTATCTCGAGCGGTACCTCGCGCGGTACCCGGGGGCCGAGGTCCGGCTTGGGTGGAGGGTTACGCGGACGGAGGCGCTCGAGGGGGAGGACGGCCCGGGCGGCGGGTGGCGGGTTACGGCGAGGGATGGGCTGGGCAGGGAGGAGGTTGGGGTTTTCGATCGGCTTGTTGTCGCTACTGGGTTCTTTGGCGAGCCTGTTCTCCCGAGGGGCATCACGGATGGGGCGACGGTGCCGGTTGTGCACAGCAGTCGGTATCGGGACCTCAAGGGACTGCTTGGAAAGGGGGCCAAGGGGGGTAAGATTCTGGTCGTGGGAGGTCAGATGTCGGGGGTGGAGATTGCCGGCACGATTGCGAGTCACCTTTCGTCTGCGGTCAATGCGCCAGGGACGACGAGCGAGCTTGCTGGTGCTGAGGGGTACACGATCCATCACTTGATTCAGCATCCTGCGTGGGTGTTTCCCTTGTACACGACACCCAAGGTATGTCCGCGCTGAGACCGCTGTGCAGCTACAAGCGACTGACCTGTGCAGCCCAAACTGTCGGCTCCCCCTTTCCTGCCGGTCGATCTCGGGTCTTATAACCTCAATAACAGGCCCAAGCCCCTGACGAACACGCAGGGCCACATCTCTCCCGAGACGGCCAAGACGGTTCACGGTATCTTCCAGAATATTGTGGGCCAGGATCAGTCCCAATTCTCCGAGTCCATCGCCGTCAAGGGTGACCTCACCTCGGAGCCACCCTACCTCGCCATGAGCGAATTCTACACAGAGTTCGTCCGGTCGGGCCTCATCACGGCCTCGAAGGGCAAACTGGAAGCAATGGAGAGCACCACAGCCATAGTCACTCCGTCAGGCGAGAAGATTGAGGACGTCGCGGCCGTTGTTCTTGCCACTGGCTTTGATCCTTCGCCTTGCGTCTCCTTCCTCCCCGACTCGGTCCTCGGGACCCTCCACCACAGCCCTGAGCACCGCGATCTACCATTGGCACTGGGGTTCCACGGCACGCAGCACCGCGACCTGCCAACGCTGGGCTTCGTCGGGTTCTACCGTTCACCCTACTGGGGTGTCATGGAGATGCAAGCACGGTTCCTCGCCGCCCTTTGGACACCAGAGAACCTTGCAAAGCCCCCGTCGGGTCTCACGGCTGCCGTGCAGAGCGACGCATGCGAAAAGCGCATTTTGGCTTTGCGAGAAGATCCACGATGCTCGCAGTTCCCCTTCGGTGATTACGCCTTCATCATGCAGGAGATGGCGGCAGCGTTGGACATGACCATATCACCACCCGTCGAGCCGCCGCTGCCGACGCTGCCGCACAACAACCTTCCCAT